CCTTGTTATGGTTGTATTAAGGGAAGTAAAAATCTAGACAAGTTTTGAGTAGCCGAATCTCTGGAGCTGATGATCGGTCTAAGCGGAACGTCCTTCTTGTGGATTTTGGGTAGTCCATACAAGTGAGGGGGCTTACTGTGGTGCGGTGTTAGGGATGATCTTTCCTTGTCCGAAAAAAAGACTTGGTGTTTTTTCAAAATCTGGTACAACTTCCTTTCGATTGATGCAGTAGGGTCCCATACGATCTTTGTGTAGCGTCCCTTCTGAACTAGTGAAATTCATCATGAAACATTGTCAATCACCTTCAAACAAATTTACATTATATTAGACAATGGAAGTCCGAACTGATGAAATACACCACGAAACATTGTCAACCACCTTCAAACAAACACTCTGTTTGTGATTTGCATTTATAATGAGCAATAATTAACGCAAAAAAGGCATGTGTCCGACACCTTCTGTACCCAATCAAACAGCAATAATGATGTTTTCGGAGCAAAGCTCCCGTATAGGAGTTTCGTTTCGGATATGTTGCTGGACGGACGTGCCGATAACGACCGTCCACAAGGGAGGTACGCGGACGTCATTCTTGGAGATGAAGCTCAGTTTTGTGTCGTGAATCTTCGCCGTCATAGAACGTGCCACCATTAAAATAAATATTTTTGTGAAAAGTCTATGAGTGTTAAAGAGAAACAGCACTCTCATTCACGCCAGTTGGAGGCCGGGGTGGACCGGATGTCCACGTGAGAATGTTACTTACAGTGGATCTACATAACTCCTATCCAGATTCACGCCGGTTGGAGGCCGGATGTCCACGTGGGGATTGGAGTGTATCAATTAAATATGTTAAATATGTGTAAATAGTCAGAAAGTCTCCAAAAAATATTAAGTGTTTTTATAAAAAAAAGTTCAGATAAAAAAGGGGCGGCAGCATTGCTGCGAGTAGGACTGCTGCCCTCCCCCCCGACGAAGCTCCTATCAGTTCTGACAGGAGGAGGATGAACAAATGCGCCGAAAGGAAGCAACGTCCAACAACCTAGAGAGAGCTTCCGTATACCTTACCTTGTCGATAATATCATTTTTTAGTTGCTCCATAACGAGCGGCAAATTCCGCTGTATATCAAGAACCGCCTCGTAGGTTCTCTGCAACTGCATTTTTTCTCGTTCGTTTTTCTGCATCAGGATCGTCTCTACTGCCGCTAACCTGTCGTCCAATCTACTGGCGGTTCCCTTGAGCGGATCCAACATTCTGATCCTTTTGTCGATGTTTATCATTCCTTTCTTCAACTGTTCCCCCACGACCCTGTCTCTGAATTCGTGTCGTTCCAGTTTATCGTCTGTGGCTCGAACGACATTGACGATTTGCAGTATGGCGGACCTGATGTCTTCATTCCTGAAAAGCGAAGAAAATTGACCTTGAACTTTACCTCCAAAAATGGTGTCCTTTGGATTCAACTATTCTTATTTGAAATAAACAGAGCCCAAACACAACGCATTTGTGACCAAACCTCAGAGAGCGCTGTTTCGCTCCTTTAATGGTACACTCGACCACCCTGTAGATTTCTATGGGTTGAACAAAGCCTGCAAAAACGGTAACTAATCTTTTATCAAGTTTTTTACAAACTGTAGGTTTTCGGCTANCAGCTATGCCGACATCTTGCCTCCCGTCAACTTTTTTTTCCCTAAAGCGATCTAAAAAAAATTATTGCCATTTTTAAAAATATCCCTAGACTTTTCCGATGTGTGTATTTGATAAAGGGATTGAATATGAATGAAACTCATTGTTGTTAACAAAAAGTTGGACAAAATCGAAAAAGAATTTAAATATTCAAGTGTTATAGTTAGATTCGTTATACTTGGCATATATATCCTTTTGCATTGCCATTTCACCAGAAAAGTATCAAAAGTGATATTTCATTGAGATATAGAAATATAAATATCAGAATGAAATAGAAATGACAGAAATTGACACAGAACCACACTGTAGACAAACACCTTATTCCGAGCTAAGAATACACCGTTTACTACGAGAAAATGCGTAAATGCTTCCATGCAGAAGCGTATGATTTATAAATAAACCTAAGTTCGTTTACCCCCTGAAAGATGTGCATCGATGAAAGCAAATACCGACACAGATGTTTTGTTTCATTGAAATTCCCTCGGAATTGAATGTGGTCTATTCATTCCCGAAGACCACTTGCCCGGCAAAAGCAATTAACAAAGGAAGAATCTACCTAGCAGCGATCGAGCATGCATCTTTGATAAAGAAAACACGTGTTTTCGAGGGTGTACAGATGAACCCAACTTCAAGTGGGCTTTATGTGGATAACTCACTCGGTAGGGTTATGAATTCGGAAGATTTTGTATAACGGATGATCTCAAAATGTGGTGCACTTTTATGAAACAAGTGCCAAATCAAGTGAAATTGATAAATTTCATGCGATTTTGCTATGTATCAATTGACACCTTTTAGTTTGATAATGGACATCATATTTGAAATGTATTGATTCTTTCAAAATATGTCAATTGACACGTTTCATATCTGATGATATGAATCACACGTTGAAAGGTAAAACCTCGTTAATCCTTAGCTCGCACAAGTTTCGACTTCTGAGGGTTGTCATTCGTAGGGGTGCGACAGCTGGTTAACGGAAAAAACAGATTTTAAACAGACAGAAACAGATATCTGATGATTGGCAGTTTCAAACGGTAGTTAAAAAGAAATATTGCTTACGGTTTCTTTGTCACAGAATTACTTTCAACTCAATAACATTTTTTACTCATCCTGCAAAGGTCACATAATGGGAAACCCACTTAGTCTTATTCGGGCAGAGATTTTCATGGACAATTTGGAGAGAAAAATACACAGTAACTCACTAGAAAGAAGTTTCGTGTATTGGTATACCGGGTGTCCCACATTTTATGTGACAGGCAATATCTGGTTTGTTGAAGGAGATACACAAAAATGCTTCATACAAAAGTTTTAGGAGTTCATGAGAGCTATATTTTGATATAATTTTTAAATATACAGGGTG